GGAGGGAGAAAGAATGAGAGATAAAATGGGAAAAAGGTGGGGAGTAAAGCTTAGAGTAGATAAAGGGGATTGAGGTGGAGGAGGAGGAAGGAATACTTAAGGGAAAAACAGTGGAATAAATCTGACCAAACTTTTGAATGTACAATCATGACTATATCATAGTGAATCTCAATATCTAGTATATCCACAAAACACTAATTTAAAAAAATAGAACTGTAAGTAAATCACAGAAAGATCAGTAGAGGCAGAGGAATAGTGGGGGGCAGTACAGGGGACTAAATTAGAGTAAATTATTTTCCAGGCTTTTGTGACTATCAAAATGTTAATCCCAATGTTAATAAATATCTAAAAAAGAATTTTAAAAATTTAAAAGTATTTTAAATTAAATACTTTAAAAGTAATTTCTACAAATATATTTGAAATAACAGGTTTTCTTTCTTTTTTCTTTTTTTTATACCTTCTCCCACTAATTGATTTTGAATGTTGACAGTAAGAAGCTGGGGTTATGGAGTTATGGACATTCACCACCATACCACCTTAATGGGACTAACAGAGCTTATTGTTTTACAATTCATGGCATTTCAAAGAAGAGTCAAGGCCACTAAATGAGGTAAGCTGAAAATCCTTTCCCTTACCTCTTGTGCTATGTGGGCCACCATGATAGCAGTAGTAGCTACTAGGAAAAGATAGAGGAAAAATGATGGCCTAATAAAACTTATAGTTGCTCTGAGAAATGTTTCTCTTTTGATGAATGAAATTATGCAAATTTGCATTTATATTCTGCCAATGCCAAGCCAATAAAATAATTCTGGATATATAATATTGAAATATGCCTATCAAATATTGTGCTTACTGAGCATCTGCCCACAGGTGGCTGACGGAAAACTCAGACTCAACATAAACTAAAGCAATACTCCACAAGGGCCTTAAGATCTTCAGAACCCAGTATGTGGCTTCTAAGTAACCCCACGATCCCCAAAGGCCCATGTCTACCCTAAAAGAGAGAAAGTTTACAAGGAGTCAAACCAGTATTCAAAAGAAGTAGTTATTTGGATGGGAAACGGAAGGTCTAAATGAGCAAAGGTTAATTAACAATACCAAAGACAACATAAGCTATCTTTTAAATGTCCTCGGGACAAGCAGATAGAAGCTGCCCTGCATCTTCAGCCTAACAATGATTCTGACTTGAACCTGAGGAAGGTGCAAGGGAAGCCCAGAGGGAGTAGCATTTCTAAAAAAGAAGCACCACCTACTCCAAATGAATTCACGTCTTGCCTGGGAGGATTATACCCAGGTGTTCTGGGAGGACTCAAACACTCCAAAAGTGAAACTAGGGGGGATTCTTGGGGAAATCAGGGAGAACAAGTCAGAGGTTAAAAGACTGGAAAGGTGGAAATTCTATCTTGCTTTTCAAAACTTGGAATAAAATATATTCTGTAACACTATTCCCAGCCAAGATTCTCCAAAGGATTTTTAAAATATTCATCTCTAGCTTTGGAGAAGGAGAGAAAGTAGTTCATGGCAGGCTTGCTTACATTCAACAATTTCACTCAGAAACAGGATTACTAGAAGGGTAATAGATGAAATGAATATTCAGAAAGGACATGACAACAAAATTTCCTTCAATATCCATATTACACTTAAAATCATAAGTGTTGGTACAAAGTTCACTTTGTTAAATGACAATAGCTTTTAGGGTTCAGCTTAATTAGGGATGGAGGCAGAGAACTATCTCTAGACCTGTCCTGCTAAACATTTTTATTAATGACTTTTATAAAGTTGTAGAGGACATGAACATTTAATTAGTAGATGGTCCAAAATTGAGAAGAAAAGCCACAGAATTAGAATGTAAGATAGCTAAGCATTGCAATTAACCACCAACAAGATAATAGTGAGGGAGACATAATGTAGAACCATCACTAGAAATTTAATTGGTGGTTAACTCAACCCAGAGCTGCCAGCAGCTCTGGTGTGATTACTCAGGTGATTACCTCATGTCCCCTGGCACTCATCAGATAGCACCTGAAATATAGCATTTGGTTCCAGGCACCATGCTTTAAGACAGTGCTTCTTAATCTTTTTGCTCCGTGAGTACCTTTAGGAGTATAATAAAGTTCCTACAGAGTAGGGAGGTCCCCTACTCTGAATAAATGATTGTAAATGCAGAAAGCAAGTAGAATTACAAAGGAAACCAGTAATATTGAATATAATATTATACAAATATCATGATGTGAGAAGACAATGATCAAAACAGTACCCAAAACTACTTCATAAAGAGAATAGTTTGGAAATATTTTGTCTAGAAAAGAGAAGGCTGTGTGTTAGGAACGGAGAGGAGAAAGGGCTAAGCATAAATGCCCACATTTTCTGTGGAAGTGTAAGCACAGGCTGGCCAGTGACTCTCCAGGGATGTTAGTGAGTGTTCTCCCCTGTGGTTTCCTCTCTGGAATTTGACCTATCTGGGGGGACCCATGCTTGGAGCAGATGATTTGTTTCTTTGGAGGTAACATGAGGCAGAAGTAGCAGGGCTGGAACCTATGTCAGGTGCCCACTTAGTAAGCAGGTGTTGGGGTGCACAAAAGCTATTGACCACAGGTAATCTATTGGAGCTCATGTCCAAGCATACACCACATAATCTCCTCCTCAGACACAAACCCCTTTTGGATCTTATCATCATTAATCCATTTCCATATGATTTTATGATAACTACCTTTTAGACCTCATTCATCAAGGTCATCCCTACTGATTTCATGGTCTCTATCACTCTACTTGATACATGGTTGGTGTTCAATAAATGTTGGTTGAATATCTGCATAAATGCATGTTTCTTCCAAAGTTTTTTTAAAAATTGCATTCAATTTTGCAGAGGAAAGTGTGTGCATGCATGCAAGTACACACACACACACAAACATACACACACACACACAATTGATCTATTTAAAAATGTTTTGTAATTTGGAGCAAACAAAAGTGCTTCCTAATGGACTTTTTATTCATAGTCCACACTTAGAAACACATATTGTAGGCAGATTTTGGGAACTGAGTGCCAAGTAAATGTCAGTGAACATTATGATTTTTAGAAGTCACCATTTGGACATTTGAAAGGTAGGGCTGTAATCTGTCTAGGTTTCTCCCATTCTTCCAGGAACAGCCTATTACATTCCTCCCAAGACTTTTCCCAAAAATCTGTCCTGATCTGTCTCAGGGGACTCTGAAATAGCTATTATTTATCTTTCAATTATTTTACATTTTAAGCTATTTGTGTATCCTTAAAAATATGACCATCTGTCTCTTATATGTAGCAGGAACTAAAACAGCAACCAAGAAACTGGGTATTACCCGAGAAAAGGTAACTTCTTTACCCAGCTAGGAGAAGTACTGGCACCCTGGGACAGGCTTTCAAGCTGCCATTCACACCCAGTTTCCAAGTCATCCCTGAAACTGCAGGAGAACCCTAAGGACATGCTTTATTTCCTGGTTACAAAATATAGATACAGATATATAGTTAAATGTCTTTATAAAAAAATGCTAGTGAACACTCTGTGGAAGAGCAGTTATCACAGACTGTGTAGGGGAAGCCACCATTATCTTTAGAACACAACTTCTATCAGGGCAGGAATTTTTATTTGATTATTCCCTGCTACATTCTTAGCACCTAGAATCATCCCAGGCACAGAGAAGGCGCTCAGTAAATATTTGCTAAATGAATGACTGAATGAAGAGCTAGAACACAAAGAGGATGATTGTATAAGAAATTTGTGACTAATGTCTCCCCTCACAACCCTTAGCCCCTCAACCATACAGAACAGTAGTGGCTAATGCTAGTCCAAAGAATGTGGGTTCATGTCCACTAAATAATAATTTCCAGATTACTTTAGCTATGGACAAAATTAATCTTATAAGGTAACTAGGATGAACTATTTCATCCTAGTTAGGAGAACAGCCTAACATCCATTTCCTGTTTCTTCCTTTAAGTCCATCTTTAGCAACTGGTGTTTTTAGTAGTAACTTTCTGATTTATTGAATTAGAGTCATCTTTCGGGGTGTAGGGGGTGAGAAGTTGACTATTTTTTTTCAAAACAACAAAAAAATCATTAAGATTTTATGTTCACTGCAACATGGATCCAATTCAAAGAGATGTCTATAAATAGATCCTCAAATCAGATACAAAGAAAGAATAAAATGTCTTAAAATTATTTCAAATGCCCAAAATGGTATATCCCAGGAGGCTCTGACTAACTGTGAAAAGACCACTTCCAGGTCAAATCTTTGTCTAACTAACATTCTTGCCAGATATCAGGACAAGCGTTTCTCTACCAACAACTGGGCTACTGGGTTTCATGTTGTTTCCAAATCCTCAGACATGGCTCCTAGCCTGACTGCTTTTGAGAAAAACAAACATGCAAGAAAAAAAAAACAAAAAACAAAAAACCCTGTCTCACAAGGGATGCTTATGCACTCATTTAATTCTGGATAGGTGTTTGGGAATGTTGCATAAAATGTTCCATACAAAAACATTATTATTAATATCCTTAATTAAAGCAACAACAGTTGCAGCACACAGATTCAGCCAAATTAGGAAAATTACATATTAGGTAACTGGGTTGCTAAGCAATATTACATCCTCATTTTACTTAATTGCTGTAATTAGCATCTCCCACCAGATGCCACAATGCAGGCCACACACAGAAAGAGAGAAAGAAGAGAGGAGAAGGGAAGGGAAGAGATGGGAAGGGAAGAAAAGGGGAGGGAAGGGGAAGGAAGGAAAAGCCACTGGTTTGATCCCTTAGGTTCTGGTGATCTCAATACTCCCACCTACTGGCCACTCCAATAGAGCCATTTGTCAATAGATGCTCTAGGGAGGAAATGTAGGGCAAAGAGTCACTGACAAATACCCAACTGTCAGGTGGAAGGGGCTGACCCTGAACCCCCTGCCTGCTCCAGCAGGAATAGCTGATCAATTGCCTCGTTTCTAACTTCTAAACTTCTTCCTTTTGAATATGATGTTGAAAGTCAGGCAAGGTCCCATCTTCCAGAAAGCTGACATTCTTGAGGGATATTGACTATAAACAAAGACGGAAGCAGCAGCACCCAAACAATTTGAGAACATTCTAGATTCTTCAGTGGTATTTATCAGGTGGAGACAAGTGATTGTCTTCCATACTTTCACCAATGGTCTCATGACCTTTCATAGCTACCAGCCGTAATACAGAGGGAGGAAAGTGACCACTGTGGGAAAGTTGGCATGGATGTGTCTCTTCGGGCTCTACAGTAACTCTTTGAAAGTGGTATTATAGTCTCTACTTAAAATGGAGAATCCATGGCTGTGCAGTAAACCAGTCCCCAAGATCCCTCAGAGTCCAGAATTTGAACCCAGCTTCATAAATGTACAGAGTCCCCACTCTTTCCATCGTACCAGGAAAGGGGGCCACACTCCAGCTCATCTGATATAGGAGGAGAAGGAGACTGAAAGGAAAAAGTGGAACAATGACCTACCATCATCCATGAGCTGAATTTACCCATCTGTTGCTCCTCTCCAGAGGAAAATGGGACTCACCATCTAATGGATGTTCTCACCTCATAATAGTTCAAAGTCTTGGGAAATTTTCCCTTTGAAGTTAGATCTGTCTTTTTTTTTTTTTTTTTTTAAATTTATCACTGTTAGAGCTATACTTTTAAACACATTTTCTTGAAACTTCTGATTATCTCTTACATGTTCTCTTGTCTCATCTACGCTTTAATTAGTTCAACATATGCCACAGTGTGTGTGTGGAATACATATTATGGAAAAGATCTTTGAGAATTTCTCCACGTATGGAAATGGCAATTAAAAACCAATTCTGTTCGGCTGGGAAAATGAAGCCACAGGTGAGTAACCTGAGCAATCAGTTCTTATAACATTCGGTTTTCTATTTTTTTTTCCACATTTTTTCCCTTTTAAAAACTTCCTCCCATTGGTCCCTTCCACAATGTTGGCCGCTAACAGGAGCCTGTTAAGTTTCTTAAATTGTACTGAACATTCCTACCTCAGGAAGGAATCTATCCAGGGGCCACGGGCAAGAGGAATCCAGAGCTAGTTGTGTAGATAGGGTAAGGTGTTCCAGTCTCCCCATCTCCTTCCCAACTTCCCCAGTCCCTACAAGCTGACACTCTTCTGAACCTCAGTCCTTCCATCTCAATACCATTAAGACACTAGGGGTCCCTGACAAAACTTATCAGTCATTCACACTCTAATTTCAATTGCTAACATCTATCAATCACTTATTTCTTACTTCTAATTCATATGCTTAACATTTATATAGATAATCAGCCCTATCAATGAGAGTGTGAAGTAGAAGACACTCTTGCCCATCGTATGGATGAAGAGACTAGTGTTCTGAGGTGATATTTTAGCCAAGTTTTCGGATTCAATTCCTGATTCCAAAGTCTTTAGGATCTTTCCTCTCTGCTTTCTGTCACCCACAACCCCTGAGAATCTCACCGTTAGTAGGATGGAGACAGGGGCCATCAGCCAGTGAAATCCCCAGGCATGTGGGTACAAATGGGATGGCTTGGAGAGGATTTGACAGGGTATAGATTCTTAGGCATATATATCCTTTCATGCCACCCTGGGAAATGTCCATGGATTATGCCCACATTTCCAGAGTGAGGCTGCTTCTCAGGCTTAGCACAAAAAACACAGTCTGATTATAATTCTCTCCCTCCCCTTTTTTAAGTTGTAATTGGAAACTTTATTTTATTTGTTTATTTTTATGTGGTGCTGAGGATGGAACCCAGTGCCTCGTATGTGCTAGGCGAGCGCTCTACTGCTGAGCCACAACCCCAGTCCCCTGATTAAAATTTAATGTTTGACGAATACAATTGGCAATCTCTCCCAGTGGAAAGACTAAATTTTCTAAGGGTAGCCTGAGGGCCCACTACTCTTAGCTTATAGAAATAGGTTATTTCCTTAGGTACCAAAGATAACCTAACATATGTAATAGAAATGCTCAGTGTCCCTGGCTGCTAGGTGGCATAAAAGTAAAGAAGCATACATCGGTCAGATCCTCTTTCAAGGTTACCCCACACCCTCTTCTTTGGCTCAAAGGTTGGTAATCTGGGTTTAGAGCAGCATCACTCATTTTACAAGCTCTGTGTTTTTAAAATGTTTGCCAGCCACTGGACTGACTTACATCTCCTCTAAAATTCCAGAACTATTGCAAACTTAAATCTTCGCTCTCTGTAGACCCATCTGACTTGCCAATTATGACAATAATGACAAAAACCTAATACTTTACTTCATAGGGGCAAGCATACCTTTTTTAAAAATGTTCAGCAATATCAAATAAACCTTGGCTAAGCAAAATATATTTTCCCATGGACTCATAACAAGATGAAGGGTGAGAATAGCTAAAATGACAACATGTTTGCAAACTTCCTGAGTGTGCTGCCATAAATTGCACCATCAATGCACAGAGGCACCATGGAGGTTGATCAGTGGGAGAGAAGACTGCTCGTAAACTTCTCTGCATGGCATTCGACACCAAGAACATGTCGTGAGCATTCCCGGCACCACTGCTATGAAACACAATCAAATTTTCATCTTCCAGAAAAATATAAATTAGATGTGCCTGGGCCTTAACAACAACAACAAAAAAAAAACCAAACAAATAAATCAACTGTGAACTGTCTGAGGAAGTAACTCAATTTAGAAGAAACCTGTTTCCTACTGGCTATGGTCCCAGCCAGCCTCTCTTGTGTGAGGGAACAGACAAGACTTTGACCTTCTGAACAAAACTCCCCAGCACTGCTAAAGGGAAGGGATGGGGCTGACAGTCACCCAGTCTGGGTTTGTGCTAAGCTTTATGCCAGAGAAGGCTGGATATATGTCCTTCTATAAAACAACCAATGAACTGTGTACCTAACCCTTAATTTATATATCGAAATCCTCACTCTCAATGTGACTCTATTTGGAGGTTGGGCCTCTAAGGAGCTAATTAAGATTAATGCATTCATAAGAATGGGGCCTAAACAGAGAAGTCCACTATTATGCATATTTATAATGCACCAATTAAAAATGATCTTAAAAAAAGAGGGGAATGGGGCCCAATGTCAGAAGATCTGTGTTCTATATAGAGAGACAGCAGAAAGCTTGCACTCTTTTCAGGCATGCACAAAAAAGAGGTCATGTGAGGACAAGTTAAATGGGGGTAGCCGACCACATGCCAAGAAGAGAGACTCCAGAAACTGACCAGGTTGGAATCCTAATGCTGGACTTACAGTCTCCAGAACCACTGAAAAATAAATTTCTGTTTTTCCAGCCCCAGTCTAGAGTATATGTTGAGCATCCTTAGCGTGAAAATCTGAAGTTCAAAACTTTCTGAGCACCAACATGACAAGTCTACACCACTGAATTTTGTTTCATGCACATAATTATAAAAAAAAAAGTGTTGCATAAATTACCTTCAGGCTAAGTGTATAAGGTGTTTAGATTAGGATCCCTCTCTGCAATATCCCATTGTGTATGTGCAAATATTCTGAAATCCAAAAACATCCTGCACGCTTGTAATCCCAGCAGCTCAAGAGGCTGAGACAGGAGAATCCTGAGTTCAAAGCCAACCCTTAGCAATTTAGCAAGGAACTAAGCAATTCAGTGAGATCCTGTCTCTAAATAAAATACAAAATAGGACTGGGGATGTGGCTCAGTGGCCAAGTGTCTCTGAGTTCAATCCCCAGTACACTCCACCCCCAAATAATACCAAATCTGAAACACTTCTGTTATCAGATAAGGGGTATTCAAACTGTACTTTGTTTTGACTAAATATCTTATTTTAATTTTCACAATCGTTCTGCAGTAGGCATTATGGTCCCATTGTTCATATGAAGAAACTGAAGTCAGAGAGAACTAACTTGCTTATGGTCATACTAGGTAAACTGGGGCTCAATTGAACAAAACTGGAGTGTGAACCCAGATCTGTCTAATCTACAGTGAAATAACTTTTTCCCTCACCAGTAAATGTGATTGTCTTCCATTATTTTTTAAGGGAATAGTGTATTTTTAATTTTATTTATTTGCTAATTGAGTGGGTTTTAAGGATTTCTTAGAAAGTGCTAGGATGATCTTTTGTGGATTTTAGTTACAAGTTTTCTCTGCCATGAATTGTTTTAAAAATACAGCATGTACTTATACATGCAATGAGAAAGGTTTGTAAAAGCAACAATAATAATAGCTACCTTTATTTAGCTCCTAGCATGTGTCAAGCAGTATTCTAAGGACTTTACATTATTTAATATCATCCTTATTACAGTCCTATTTGGTAGGCACAGATGTTGATCACATATCACAGATAAAGTGACATGAGGCAAAAAGAGATTTTGAAATGTGCCCATTTCCAGAGCTAGTAAAAACCAGAGCTGAGATTTGGAGCCAGGTTGTAAGCATCTAGAACCTGGGCCCAAGAGGGAGCATTGATGAGATGGACCACTATGCAGCCATTCACACAAAGCCAAAGAAGAGAGTGATATTGGCCAAATTATATTGTCATATTGTGTGCAGGTACAAATACGTGATAACAAATCTCATCAACAGGTGCAACTATAATGCTCCAGTAAAAAATATGGGAGGAAAAAAAGAAACAAAAAGAGTGAAAACCCCATGGGAAATGCCTGCAAGTTCACAGTAAGACAGTTGACAAGATGCTGGTAATGGTAGGCATATGCAGCCAGGACAGCCTTCAGACTAATTCATCAGTGTTCATCACAGCTTGAGGCAAAAGAATGCTTCTGAAGGGCCAGGTTCTTCATGGCAAAGTCCCCTCACTACCAAAAACCCTGGAAACTGGGAGTCAGAGAAGATAGGCTTCTAAACAGTAATTCTCAAACTGTAGACCACATCAGAAACATCTGGAGAGGTCAAGAGGCCCCCTTGAGACTTTTTTTTCAAGTTGGTCTGAAGTGAAGCCAAAAATCTGCTTGACTAACAAATCCCCAGTTAGTACCCAAGCTGTTGGGCCAGGGACCACACTTTGAGAACCACTTGTGAAGCCATGGGCAGACACTCTAGCTCTCTAATACTGTCTACTCCTCTGTCTTCACTTTATCCTGAGATCTGGGGTATCACTTTTTTTTTGTTACATGGAACAATTGGGCATCTACTGCATGATTAAGTTGTCATAAGAGGGGAGATTTGTAACATACACTCAAAAAAATTCTTAGAGCCACTAAAACTCTAGGAAATTAGGACATGTTCCTGGGAGGCTACATCGAATAGTGGGCAAGAATCAGAAAGTAGAATCAGAATTTGAGATCCATTTCTTGCTAACATATAACGTTGGGTAATTAATGTTAGTTCCACAATTTGCTTTTTTTTTTATGAAGTAGAGCTAAAACTTTACTTAAGGTTGGGAGGGCTAAATGTGGTAACCCTGCATTTGCCTAATGCTTACTGAAAACACACACTTCTGACTCCTGACCCTAGCAGCCTGCTTAGCCAGAACATTCAAGTCAAGGTCATGCTGATATAAATCTTAATTTAAAACCTGGGGGATTCTGAAACTGGGCAAGTTTTGCAAACCCTCATGGAATCCAATTGGCCTTTATCTAGGGGCCAGCCACTGGTTGATCACCATCTTGATCCATTTTGCAAATGACATTAACATGGTCTTGATACTGTCACTGAGGATGATTAATTAGTAGATACCCTATAATAAAAATGTAAAGGACATAGCTCTATATTTCTAAATAAAAATCAATTAAGCCATACACTTAGCATTTGTGCATATTGCTATTTATAAATTGAACCTCAATAAAATATTTTTAAATAAATTTTTAAAAAGACAATGCTATACTTCTTTATAAATGCATAAAAACAAATAATACTACTAGACAGAGTCCATGCCCAAATGATCCTAAAGAACACAGTGCCTGGTGTGACTGTATGGAACTTTTGGGAAGTGAATGAGAGAGTCACTTGATGAACTTAAGTGGTTAGGGAAACAGCTAACGAAAATGCTGGGGTAACGCTGAAACATAGGGACCCCGTTTTCCTTCACTTGCCCTCCTGCCACTTCGGCAATGGTGCCTCTGCCAGAAATCAACAGCCTCAGCTTTAAACGCAAAGAAAGGCAGCTTCAATTTCAGCTGGGGGAACCCTGCCTTCCACAGCAACTCATTCAGAAGCCCAGCCTGGAGCTGAAAAGAGGCACCACCAACCCACACTATTACACAGGAAGGGAGAGATCCCTCTTTTTTTTTTTTTTCTGCTACTGTATGATTTCCAGAAGTCCTTTTCTAGGCAGTGCATCCAGAGATTAGCTGACCAGGACCAATGAACCACAATGGCTGATATCCAAGCCACAAAGTCTATTAAAAACCTATTTTACCCAAGTACATTTCCCCGTGGGCTTTGAGACAATGGCATACCACTGAGTGCATTTAACAGACAGGCCCTTGAAAGAGGAAGGAAGAGTGATTAGCCTGGGGTTAAGCACTGTTCTGGTGGGATAAAGACCAGGATGCAAAGTCCCAGCTCTTTCCAGGCTGCTGCTCAGGAGCAGATAGATAGCAAGTTACCTGCTGGCTTGCGGGGATGAAAGTAAGAATGAATAGAATAGCCTGTGCCACCTGGACATTTTGGACATCTTCTGCTTCACAAGCTTGCCAGCTGGAGTTCAGAGTAATAACGAGGGGCCTAATTTTACCATTGCTCAGAGGGCTAGTACTCATATATAATGAGTTTCATTCACAATTCAGTGGTCAGGCTGGGTGGTTTGGGAGGGGGACAGTGAGCTGAGGAAAGAAGTGTCACCACTGGCTCTCCTTTAGGTTCCGGTGGCAGGAGACACTGGATTTTTGTGCTGCATCTTCCATTCTAAATAATCACAGGTTTCCCTTTTCTATTTCCACATCAGATGCAGGTTTATGGTTGCCAGCTATTTATGGGATTCGCTCAAAGTTCAGACCTGGCATCCCTGTCACTCGTGAGCCTGTAAGAGATACTTTCAGTTATACCCAAAGCTCCTATTTTGCACACCCTTATGGGGGCTTTACTTTTCTGGGTTTCCACCTGTCATTTTCTTCAGCAATGTCCCTGAGCCCGCGGAGCTGCTGGGCCTGCCTGTGCATGTGGCCTGAAAAAACTGTGAGACGACATCCATCAGGTGCTCAGCTTTAGAAGGACTGCTGTGGCAGTGTTTGAGACCAGTTGCCTACCTGAGTCAGGATGAATTCTGAAGGAACCATTTACAGTTGCTTCTCTACTTACCATGGGGTTACATTCTGATTAAACCCATTGTACCTTGATAATATGTTAAGTAAAAAAATGCATCAAATACACCTAACTTACTGAACATAACCTGGCAACACAGGACACTGTAGAATGCGGGTTATTTTCCCTGTGATTCTGTGGCTGACTGGGAGCTGTGGCTCTCTGCTGCTGCCCAGCATCTCCAAATAGTATTGTGCCTACTGGGTATGGCTAGCCTAGGAAAAGATTGAACTCCAGAGTAAAGTTTCTATTGAATGTGTATTGCTTTCATTAAACACACACACACAAACACAAACACACACACACACACAAATTGAATAATCAATAAGTTGGGGGCAGTACTGAACAATAGAACTTTGAGTAGTAATGGGAAAATTCTAGACCTACTGTCCAAAATGATAACCACTAGACACATATGGCTGTTGA